CAGTTGTTTCTTTGAGGATTTGTTGTAAGTGAAGTAAGCCAGGCCCAAAGAAACATAGGTCCCATGGTTTCCCTTATTTGCAATAACTAGTATATGTCTGGGACAAGTAGAAAAGATCAAAAGCTATATACATATGACCAGATAAGATGAAGTTAATGGAAATGAACCCCAAGATAGGGACAAAAGTGTCTTTTCCTTTCTTGCTATTGTTTCTAGCATATTTATAAGGTACCATGTGATTTTTTTGTTGCTTTGCATGTTCCTCCCCCATGGTATAACCCGTATTTTCACTGTACTTGATGTTGGTATAATTTGGGGAGGGGAAGGGAAAAAGCAAAATTTTAAATAGGGATACAGGTTGACCCATTGTAACAATGAGATGTTGAAAAATGAACTTTATAATTTAGTCAGAAGGGGGGAGGTGGGGGGGGAGTGTAGTTGTGGAGGTGGGAGGGCAGGGATGGTAGGGGAAAAACAAAGGAGGAGGCAACAATGTTTGATCAGAAATGTACTCATTACCTTGCTCATGTAACTTCAACCCCTCTGAACAGTATTTTCACAATAAAATCATAAAAAAAGAAGTGAATATTCACAATTTTAGAGCTAACATGAGATGCTTCCATTACCTCCCAGTGATGAGGAAGAATAAAGTGAGGATGACCAGGAGAGTGAATCCCCCAACCGCCGCAGTGGCTATCACCAGGATCTGCCCTTGTTCGGCCGCCATGTCAGAAGCTGAAACAAAGGTATAATACTGAAATTTCCATGGGTAAGACATCATGGTCAAATTACTGTCTTGTGATATAAACTGGAACTATGGCAATGGTTCCAAAAGCCACCTGTGATATGTAGCCTTGTTTCAGAAATAGGCCTAACCCAAAATATATGATTGCTGTATGGGTCTGGAGAGGCGATATTCTTACTCATAAAAATGCCAGTAAATAAGTAGATTCTTAATATTCTGAATTTGGGGATTAAGGTTATATTTCAAAATGGAATCAACAACTGGACCAAAGACTTTATTGCTCATCTTAGTTTCCCTTTAGCTAATAGACCCAGCATTACAGACTCTCTTGTCATCTGATCCCACAATGCATACAATACTCTTGTATGAAGTCCCTTTAAGAACATGCTCCTAGGGATGGGAAGGTGGCTCAGTGGTAGAGTGAGTGCTTGCTTTGCATGCATGAGTCTCTGGGTTTGATTCCTCAACACCATATAAGCAGGAAATAAAAGAGCCAGAAGTGGAGCTGAAATGCTGAGGAACAGGGCCCAGGCCCAGAGTTCAGGTCCAACGACTGGAAAAAAAAAAGAAAAAGAAGAAGAAGAAGAAGAAGAAGAAGAAGAAGAAGAAGAAGAAGAAGAAGAAGAAGAAGAAGAAGAAGAAGAAGAAGAAGAAAGAAAGAACGAACATGTTCATAGTTGAGAAAAGGTGGCTCACATCAGTGATCTTAGCTACTCAGGTGGCTGAAATCTAGAACTGTGGTTTTAGCCTAGGGGAGGGCAAAAAAGTATGTAATCAAATTGTTTAAATAGGGATCCAGATTGACCCATTGCAACAATGAGATGTAGAGGATGCTATGTCGCTATGTGGGAAAACAAACTGTAAAATTTAGGCGGGGTGGGAGTGGGGAGGGGGGTGGGAATAGAGGGGGAGTGGGAGTAAGGAGGTGGGAGGGAAAGGATGGTAGGGGAAAAACCAAAGGAGGAGGCCACAATGCTTGATAAGAAAAGTACTCATTACCTTGCTCATGTAACTGTAACCCCTCTGTACAGTATTTTCACAATAAAAAACTGAATAAAAAAAGTATGTAACACTCTACCTCCAATTTTAACTGGTGAACCATGGGACTGGAGGTGAGGCTCAAGTGGTTGAGTGTTAACAGTGAACAAGAGAGCCCAACAATAGCATGAGACTCTGCGTTGAAAGTACCATCAGAAAACAAACCAAGGGGCTGGGAAGGTGGCTCAGTGGTAGAGCGCTTGCCTTGCATGCCTGAGGCCCTGGGTTCGATTCCCAGCACCACATAAGCAAAAAGAAAAAAGCCAGAAGTGGCACTGTGGCTCAAGTGGTAGAGCGCTAGCTTTGAGCTGAAGAGCTGAGGGACAGTGCCCAGGCCCAGAGTTTAGGCCCCACGACCGGACCCAAAAAACAAAACAAAACAAAAAAAAACCAAAAGGGGCTCCTAAATATTTCATACAACTAAATTCAAATGTTTCCATTTCCATAGCACAGGATATACATAAAGGTGACAAAGAGCGTCTTTTTTTTCTTTCAGGGCTGAAGATTGAGCCCAGAACATCAAAGATAGTAGGCAGGCAAACTATATTAAAACTGCATCGGAATACATTTCACTAATCTTCCAAATGTCTTAAAATGCACTAATACAATAAATTCACTACCTGTTTTCATTTGCTGTATAACTGTATACTTATTGAATGAGTTTAAGTTGCTGAAGTATAGCAGGTGAATCATATCAGCACATACCATTAGTAGTTATTAATAAAGAAGTAATGTAAGGAAAATGAAACACAAAGAAGTTAAAGAGATTGCTTACATGGAGGTATGGAATTCAGGCTCCCAATATTAAAAAAAATTCTGCTCCCTCTTTATCACTAAAATAGTATTGAATCAATAATTAATACTTATCAATATCCCATAACACTAAATCAGTAACTTTCTTAATTTTAATAAAACTTAAAAGATTGCATTACTATAAGTATATGTTAATCTTATAAGTTATAGGAAACAAAGTGAATCAAAAAAAGTATTAAGTACATACTACTGAAAAACAAACTGCATAGTTTTCTACCATAAATATGTTTAAACTTGAATACTTTAAATTTCTATTAAAGTTATTTTTTATCTGTGAATTAAGTATGTAGTACACTATGCATTAACATCTCATAAAAATGATATATCTACTAAACAATATCTAAATGCTGGTATTGTTGAGTCATTAACAAACCAGTTACAGCATTTAAGAGGATTTTTTTACAATAAAATCTAGATGTAAATAAAATAAAAAAGCCACTTATGTTCAGTTTCCAGTAAGGAAAACTTATGAAACTATGGAATTAGATTTTCATTGCTATGATTTAGGCAAGATATTTCAAGCAATCTATTATAAGATTGTGTTTTAGCTCATAATATTGCCAGAGACAAGTTAAATAGTTGCATCTTAGCCAGTAAATTATGTCTTGAAGTTTTTGCATTAGTTCTTCAGTGAATTTCCTAATCTTCAAAATAGCACTGATAGCATGGGAATTAATGTTGTGCTCTCAAATGTCACCTTTTCCTATTGGAAATTATTAAATAGAAAATTTTAAGAAATTGATGTTGTTAACAACATCAATTTTGGAAGATAAAGAGTATGACATTTAAAAAATAAAATATTGTTTATATAGAAACTGCTGTATTTATACAGTATATAATACAGTTGAGACTTGAAAATGGAGCATATATTTTCATAGTCTCCAGGGAGCAACTAATTTATTTGAATCATGCATTTAAACTCAGATGGTGGATAAGATTACATAAGTAGGTGTTTACAAAAAATTAAGATCCCTTTTATAAAAAGGTGTTGAATTAAATAACTTTTTACTAATCTATCTCTTTTTACCTACTTTTGATTACATATTAATAAACTGTGGATTAATTAAAATTTTTAGTGGGTAAAGTAATATTAAGTTGTGGTTCTATGAAAAATGAATAAACAGGTATAGTTATTTCATAAACTTCTTTGCTAGGAAACCTGAATACTCTGCTCTATGTAACCAAATATACAAATAAACAGGGTAGTTGGATATAAAAGTACTTAATGAGAGTGTGGGGGGAGATGATGGAACTCGGATGATTAGAAAAAACAACAACTATGCTATCATGTTCATCAGCTGTAGTCCATACTTGTTCCTAGCACCATGTAAAGACAGAGCTTCAAATCCATTAGCAAATTTGTCTTTGTGGACTTGATTGGTAGGTACCATTATCACTCCTAATGGAAGTAGTTGTATTACTGGCCTACGGGGAAAGCTAGTAATTTGATTCTGATGTGCCAGTCTCTTAAGTCTCTTGGTAGTTTTAGAAAACTACAATTTTCACTCACAGGAGAAACCACTTGACCCAGGTCTTCTGCTACCCTAGAGCAGTAATGCTTTTGTTTCACCTTGGCTTCATGTTGACCGTGTAAGAACACTGAATTAACATTCTTGTCACAATTTTCTAGAGCACTTTCACTGTGTTATCCATTAAGGCTATAGTTGAATGGCACAAAAAAGGAGATTTACCATATGGAAACAAAACACATATCCAGATTTCTGCTGTGGCCCTTGGTCCTCAGAGAAATTACTTTTTGCCTTATATCACATTAGTTTTGGTCCATCACAGCATTCTAACTTCATCTCAGAATAAATTCTAAAGTCCTTAACTTCAGTAATAAGGCTTTCTACAAGACTCTAACATAGATCTCCAGACTGATCTCATCATTCTCTGGCTATGATGAATTTCTTTCAGTTCTTAAAAGAACTAAGCTTTCCCTACAGGCCAATTCAAATTTAATCTTCCTTTATCTAACTCAGGAACATTTTTTTCCTGATACATACATTTAGATAGGCATTTGGACAATGGTATCATAGATCACTAGACTACTTCTACCAAACACCCTATAATATTTCAGTTGCAATTACTATTTGGTAACTCTCATTGGAATGCCAGTTCCATGAGTAAATATTTCTTCATTTGGCTTCTGAACAATCAAATGGCATCCTCATCCTCAAAAAGGGAAGTTAGTTACACATACAAATGGGGCACCTTGATTTTTGTGGATTGTCCCCTGGCCCCAAATCAAGTGACAAGTGTTCTTATCAGACACAGAAGTGGAGAAGGCAAAGAGGAGAAGGCCACAGGAAGATAGAGGAAGAGACTGGAGTTAGGCAGCCATATGCCCAAGAATATTTAGTGACAATGAAGCTGGTAGACAATGGGAAGGGGTCACCCTTACTGTGTGTGGAAGACAATTGTTTTGGGCTTTTAATCTGTGATCTATCATCTTAAATCATCAGGCTTGTGACCTTTTGTTACTAGAAAAATAAATCCAACTGATTGGACTTAATCCACAGTAGTACCTTAACAAATGTTTCACTGAACAGAAGGGCTTATGTTCTGGATGATTCAGGCAAGAAAAGGTTGACTAATGTAGATAAACTCTACATTCCCATTCTTCCCTTGAAATGTAAGGAAGATTTATCTTAAATGTAGCTATTCATTTCATTTGAAAAGAGAATTCCCAACATGAATTAATTTGCCGTTATTCTGTCTGCTTGGAGACAATGCTGCCTGAAAGGCAGGAACTACTAGAGCATTTACATTTGTACATTTTGTGAGGTTGAGTAGCTTAAGCTCAGATTTGTTCATCTGAGGTTAAAAACGGATTAATTTTTGCCCACTGCAGTAGTACAAGAGTGTAATCCTAGTACTTGAGGAACTGAAGTGGGAGGATTGTGAGTCAGAGGCTATTTGAGCTACATTAGGAGTTGTAAGCCAACGTACACACTAAGACCTTATCTCAAACAAACAAACCAAAACATGAAATGAAAGCAAAATAAAACAGAATGAATTTAGCCAACAAATATTTACTGAGCAACTCTTACATACCAGGCACTGAAGTAAACACTAAGCTACAGAGATAAACAAAACAGACAGGTACTAGGTTAATGGATTTTCAGTTCAGTGAGGA